AAGTTGATTGTTTGGGCAAAAAGAGATGGATTAGTTTTTTGCCAGAGTAGGCAAAGATTTCCATGTATGCAGCTGCGTTTCAAGTTGTTTTAATTGTTTCCTGAACAATTCCCACGTGAGTTAAGTCAAGCTGTTGAAACGTTCAAAATTTTTCGTGTTTTAGGGGAAGGACAGTAAAGGTTTTAAATCGTGGTACTGTAAGAGAAGTATATTTGACAAATATATATTCTCAGATTGCTGATTGCATGTGAAGTGTGCGATGAAAGAACTGAAAAATTTTGTATCGATAACTTATACCGTGACTATTCCTCTTTTACTATCCTTTACTTTAAAGAAGAGTATGTTATCTATAGAGTGTGTTTACTGTTAATGACTACTTAAAATTAGCATGTTTATCAAGCAGTGAACTGAAGTACAGTTGCCGACAGCACTGAGTTTAGAATTAATTATTCCTCTGTAGTATAAGTCTAGTAGTTGCCATTGAAATTATTGAGAAAACTCATTACGAAAAGTATCTCTTCTATGACCGGCTGTACAATGTTCACTGACAGGAATGTTTTGTCAAATAAGTCAGCGAAATCAATATCAAGTTGTGATAATAACAGTATGGTTTCCGATTTAGGTATGGGTGTGTGAGGTTTCGATGTAGGTGTATGTTTAACTCGTAGATAAGATCTGCACCTACCCACATCCACACACTCAACACAAAGGACGTTAAATACTACATTTACTGTTATATTATCTGTACAACAATTTATCTAAAAGTGTTTGTTGGACATCATACTTTACATATAGGTATTCTGAAACATGCATGAAATCGTTTACTATTTTCTAAATCATTGCCAAAAAAGTTGTCCTAATAGATCGATGTCGCCACCAGTCTACACAATGTTGTCACCGCAACATGAGTCTCATTAGAAATGAGTAATATGTCTTGATAAAATGTAATAAGCATCTGTTCTTGGAAATATGCGAATCATGATATCTGGCGCATTGTGACACTTTTCTCTTTTCTTTTTACCTTAATCAATATGATATGTGACAGGACAAACACGATGTCGTGTCTCACACACTGCACAGAACGAAGTTGCTTCTGACTATTTACTACACGTTGCAATGATAATAACGCGTGGTCTAGTGGCAATTTAGCTTCCCAGAGCAAAATTTTTCATATAAAAATGTAATGAAACCGGGAAATGTAACTACGATTGAATCTGTAGTGTAGCTTGGTTATCGACAAAGGACTGAAAGGGCTAATTTCCAAATACTCATAAGGTTACTGTTGCTCATTGTCAATACTGTTTGAAAGAATATGCGTGTGAGCAAGTTATGAAACAAATGAGTTCTGTAACACATTGATTTCTGCATTTTTACGTTTCATTTGAAAAAAAAATTGCGCTGTCAAGCCAGTGTTGCCACTAGTCAGCACATGTTCGTAATTGCAACATGACTTTCATAAGAAATGAGTAATTACCTTAGGGTAAAATGTAATACGCAAGTTTCTTTCCAAACATGCAAATCATGACGTCTGAGTATTTTTACACATTCCTCTTTTCTTTTCATTTTTATCAAGACGATAAGTGTCAGGACAAACAAGATGACGTGCCACATATACTATGGAATAAAGTTGCTGATTACGACTAACCAAGAACTATTTTTGACAATACATATTAACTAGTGCTAATACTCAACAATGTCAAGATGTGTCAAGCAATTAGCGTGTCGATTTCATCCGGAAGTGGAATTGATTGAAGATTATCATGCTGGTGACATGATTTGTGGTGAATGCGGATTGGTTGTTGGTGATCGAATGATTGATGTTAGTTCTGAATGGCGTACATTTTCTAATGATAGTGAATCAAAAGATATGAACCGTGTTGGAGCTGCAGAAAATTTTCTATTTGCTGGTAATAATCTTGAAACTATTACGTCGAAAGGAACAGGTGCAGGTGCAGTTGATGAATTCGGTAAACAAAAATATAGCAATGGTTCTCAGCAGAGTTCGTCTGCCGATAAAGCCTTAAAAAATGGTTATGATAGTATTCGAGAAATGGCTGGACGTATTGGTTTATCAAGTCGAATTATTAATCGAGCATGTTTATTTTTTAAACAATGTTATGAAAATCAATGTGTACGCGGTCGCCCACATAATGCTATTGCTGCAGCATGTATTTATATAGCTTGTCGACAAGAAGGTGCACAACGTACGATTAAAGAAATATGTGCAATATCTGGAAATACGTCAAAGAAAGATATTGGTCGATGTTTTACACATATTGTTCGTAGTTTACCGAATTCGAATCGAATTGAATCAATGGAAATCAAATATTTGGTACCTCGTTTCTGTAATCAACTTGAACTTGAACTTGATCAAAAAAATCTTATTCGAAAAACAGCTGTTCATATTGCCGAACGTGCAAAAGAAGTTTGCGATATACAAAGTCGTGCACCAGATTCTATTGCAGGTGCATCAATTTATATGGCTTGTGCTGCTGTTGGTGAGAAGAATCTGATGAAAGCTATTCAAGTTGCTGCTGGTGCAGTGGAAAGTACAATACGACAAGTGTATAAAAAAATGTTACCAAAAGCTGCTGAATTATTTCCATCTGATTTTGTATTCAAAGTTCTACCAGCTAATTTACCACAAGCATAGGTGTTTTTTAGCAATATTTCGTTGGCTTATTTGATGTCTCGCCTACTATATACATTGGAAAAAACGCATCAAGAACAAAATAGAAATAGTTTCTGACATACTTTTCAGCCTATCTCGGAAAGATTTTTCTATAAAACAATGTAATAAATAACAATAGCCTATTGCACATATTGTATTACCACTATGACTGTGGATGTTCTTTTTCACCACACCTACACCCTATATAAGTTCAATACTACGAAACAGCAGATACATACATGTGTACGAAACCATTAATTAAATTTAAATAAACTTCAATGTTCATACGAAAGACTTTCTCTTTAACTGAGTTAGAATCATGCCTGTCTCATCGCTCAAAGCAGACAAACTAGGATTGGGTGTGAGCGTCAGTTCTAGCAAACTCTCACTGATATCGGCACTAACACTGAACATCCACACCTAACAGTGTATATATTTAAGAATATAAAGGTCCAACAAGATGGAAGATTTTTTATTTTTATAATATAAATGACTCTGTTATTTAAGTTAACGATTATTGTAATATCTCATAACGACCTATTCATACTGAAATACACAACATACCATAAATCCAAATAGCTAATAGGAAAATCTTTTCCAATACATATTCTTGCTTATTGGTATCCATTGTAATACAAGTGAGCGAATTCCAATGAGCTCATGAATATAGAGCAGAAATAGATATCTTTGAAATTACCATCGATTTGATAAGATAATATGTGCTACTAAATCATTTCCAAATAATCATAATAGCAAAACAAAGAAACTCATCGTTGAAACCTTTAACACAATATCAATATACATAATCTGAACGAAGACAAATATACTTTTGTTGTTTACAGTTTTTACAAGTACCTTTCAAGGAAAGACAACACCATCAAAGCTACTTCTTGCATTTTACTGCTGTTCGAATAAGTAGACGAATTGAAATAGATGGTTGATACAAACAGCAATAATTTGTTGATAAGTTTCCTATAAAAAAGACTAGGACTAGAGATCCTCTGATAATACATTCAGTGAGAGCTTAACCATCGATAAAATGAATTCAAAGCCTTATCTTCTAGTTGAGGAAGAGGTTGATCAAAGTGATAAAAGTTATTTACAAAAAAACTGAGATTCATTATAGAATGTTAACGCAAATATAGAAGATAATTAAGACACAGGTAAATTCTATCATCTTTTCGTTCTTTTTTCTTTTACTGATAAATATAAATATAAGATAATTTTACACCATGCTATTGGTGTTGGTAACATAAAAGAACATGAAAAGCTAAATAAAATGTGTCTTGATAACTCTTTTTTGTTAGAGATAACTATTGTTGTATTTTACGAATAGTCAATGCACACAAGAGGAAACACTGATGTCTATACTCCTAGAAATCACAGGTATTAGTTTATTCGTCTCTTGCCATTACCTGAAAACTGTAAAGCTATTTATAATCATCAGCTTTTCTTTTCATTCATACTCCATGCATTGATCGTATTCTTGCTCAAGTAAATGTCAAATCCATGAATGATAGATGGCAGAAGTGTACTTTGTTATTTCCATTTTCATACCTTGAACAAACATGGATGCCTATGAATATCATTGTATTGTTTATCTTGTTGTTAACATTGAAATGACGTTTTTATTCAGTCCAAAAAAAATAGAGAGCATATACCGATATTTTAGATCGCTATAAAATCGATTAATTCATAAATATATACAATCAATACTTTTTTAAGATATATTAATAATATTAAACTTAACTTAAATAAATACAATAGTGTTCTCTTTTATTCAAAGAGATTTTAAAAAAATTAGATCAACAAAAAACAAAAAAGATTATGCACTATAACAAGCATTAATACTGAACACATGAAATCAAACGTACATTCTGATATTGATTTATTTTTAGAACACATATGTTTACCTTTGAACGCATGTTGGTTGAAATACTATTGACAACAAAGATATGTGAATAGAAGAAACGCAAATGATTTCTTCAGACAAGTTTGTATTTAGTTCATATATTTGTAATATTCTTGATTTTGAATAGATACAACAAAAACGAATGATAAGGATAATATGTAAAGATTATTTTCAAAAAAAAAGAACAATGTATCGATTGAATAAGGTAACTATTTTATTGAAAAAAAAAAATTTCTTTTATAAGAACAAAATACTTTATTTAATAATAGGGATTAATGTTGGCTTAAATTTATATGCTATGATATTAAAATAATGAATAAATTAACAATATAAACCAATAAATCAATTCAACAAAAAATGAAATAATTTACAAGATAAATTACATATATATTTTACTTTAGACTTTACAATTATCCAATGGCTTCAAATTCTTCATCTATTCGACAACAAAATCCTATTTCATCTGAACACATTCAATTTTCAATATGGAATACATTTAAACATCATATACCACGTTTTCTTATTACTATTCTTGTTGATGTTATTCTTCCACTTGTTCTTTATTTTTCTCTTCAAAAACGTATTAAATCAATTTATGCTCTTTTAATTGCTGGTATACCACCACTTATTATGGTTATTATAAAAGGAATTCTATCACGAACATTTGATGCACTTGGTTTTCTTGTTTTTATTGCTTTTCTTATTTCGGCTATTGTTGCATTGATAACACATAATCCAATTGTACTACTATTAGAAAAATCTATTATAACTGGAATTTTATCGATTATATTTGCTTTAACATTAATACCATTACAATGTTGTCAATATTATTTTCATATACGTCCACTTGCTTATTATTTTTATCAAGATTTAGTACCAATAAAACGACATGAAGTTGGATTACCTGATCATATATTTGAATATGAGGGACATGATGATGAACATTCAATAGTAAAATTATCTTATAAACAAGAAGTTGCTCAAGTATATGAATGGTTTTATACACATTGTTCATCATTTCGTTCTACATGCTATATAATAACAAGTATTTGGTCAATAGGATTTCTATTAGAATTTCTTGGTCGGTTTACTTTAATTCTTGTTCGTTTATCCATTAATAATATTGTTATTTATGGACATGTTATATTGAGTTCAATAACAATTATAATGATTCTATTAACAATTATTTGTATAGCAAAAGAAAGACAGCAAACATTAAGATTTATTGAACAATGGAAAAATGATCATTTGAACATTGAACAACAACAGCAACAACAACAACAACAAGAATAATGCATAAATCAATTGAATTCGAAATGATTGCATATATAATGTTATATAGTTTTCGCCTTTCTTTTTGTTTAACAAAAAATATTAATAAACTTAGAATTTATACTTTCAATTAATATTTGTTTCGTAAATTGTCTACTATGGATATGAAATTTTCGTAGTGCATAACGTCTATACTATATTTTAAAAAGTACATGGAAATTCATATAAATCAAAAAACATAAAAAAGGTATTATTCGAATTTCCTCTGACTTTTCATCAAATTTGTCTATCGTATTTTTCATATTATCATTTGTCATACAAACATATTAGGAATGAAAATGAGAAGATAAACATTACAAAAAAATTGAAAGTAACAATCGATTTTAGAGCCATCATGCATTCTTTAATGGTTTCGTAGTTGCGCGATAACTTCTAGGCATCATCGGAATATCGAAGCGTTCCCTATCATAGATATCTCTCTGTCTTTTATAAAAATAACCAACAACAGTGATACAAATTAAAGCAGGGATTCCGAGTCCGACTGTGAGACCGGCAATTAATCCTGCATTTGGTCCTACGAGATGTAAAATAAAAATAGTAAAAAATAACTGGAAACCGTCAGTTATTTACCTGGCGGAGTCACTCCTACTGTAGTGCTCGGTGGAGTTGTCAAACTAGCCAATGTATCATTGACATCTAAATCAAAGTTTATTCAAAATTTTATCGAAAACTCTTCTCTTCATTTCACTAACATGAACAGTTATAATCATATATTTCTATATTATCTAATGCAAAATAAATCGTTTGATTCAATATTGATTGTTCTATTTCAGTTTCGTTATCAATAAGAAAAGAAAAAGCTAACTAAAAATTCAACATTTTTATTTCTTAATGAATTTTTCTAAAAAAAAAATCATGTCTTACTGTATAATTAGAAAATGTTGAATTAAATGTGACATCGTGAAATTGCCATTTATTTTCTATTGTATCATTTCTTGTAAGATTCGTAATTAAAAGTTCATTGTCACTTTCATCAGTAGATCTTATCCACACTTGAATCTGCTGGCCCCAATCTTGTCCTTCATCAAAAGTAAAATAATAATAAAATCGAAGACATTGTTCTCCAATTGAATCTCCTAGAGTAAGGTTAAAATCGACTGAGCCATTGATTGTCTTCAATGGTTCTGATGCATTAAGTGATACTAGACCATATAAACCTATAAAAAACATTAAATTTTACAGGATATGAAACTTGCTTTATATAGAAAAGATGAAATTTTTCATGATAGATTTTCTTTAATTTTATTTCAACTATAAGCATTTAATTAAATTTGCAATATTTATAGCACTATAAAACTGTAACAAGAAATATCCAGTAAAAACTCGTTTAGAAAAGCAAAATTCCATTTTGTAATAAGAACACTTTTTTTCAATAGTCAATCATCATGGAGAAAGTTTTACCTAATTGACATGTTGCTGTCAGTCCATTCGGTGTTCTACATTGATTATTATAACAAAAGTTCAGATCCCATATACCGATATCGATACTACCATTAAATGGTAATCGATAAGGTAAATGGCATTTTTGATTGTTACTTGTTGGAAGGGCTGTAATAATCATCAATATATTTATGAAATTAGAGTTCAGAATGAATATGAAACTTACTAATAGATGTAACATCCGAAGTTGGTGCTTTAGGACGTTCTAAGCTAGTAGAAATTCCATTAGGATTAAATTCATTACCACTAGTTCGTTTCAGTTGATCATTTGCAAAACATGCTGTGGAATCGAAATCACATCGAAATAGTGCACCGAAAGGACGTTCTGTAGTCATATTTGACACATCTGCCTAGAAATATAATTCATAATTTGTACACTAATCATTTTTGAATCTTTTATAAGAATGTTTTTTTTATCAAAGAAAATATAAGAAATATATCAACTAACTAATCGTAAGTTGGAATCAATTGCCTCTTCTTTTGTCTGTTCTGGAATCGATTTTGGTAGGATATCTTCGCCAGTCAAAATTTCTGAAGCCAGTATCAATGGTGCATTTGCTATTCTAAAAGTAATAAATTGTTGAATATGCGACAAATAAAGGGTGTTCAATGAGATAGTTTATATATAAATAAAGAGTAATCACTACCTAACAATATCTATATAAACTCCGAGTACTTAGGACAATGTTTTAAATGGCATATTAGCCAATGAGATTATCTCTTTTACTATCATTGATATAAACAGAAGAAACATAATAATGCAAATTTCGAAATTGACAAGTATTTTTTTTTTTGAAAAATCTTAATGAAATATGAATCCACCGTATGTAACGTCACACAATCGTACAAAACGATATATTATATTTGGGTAGTTTTTCCAACAGATAGTATGAGTAAGTATTCATGTCATCATTTAACTTAGATACTAAATTTATCGAAAGAAGTAATTGAAACAGAAATTAAAAAGGTAATTGAGAAAAATGTTCTATTCCAAGACGATCAAAATTCAAAACATAGAACAACAATTGAAGTACAAACCATCGATGGATTATTTACTACAAGAGTTTTATGTGATGATGAAAATACAAAATTTGCAAACGTGTGGTGCATTTAACATGTATAGAGTCATCCATAAAAGGCGTTCAACAATATACTATAAATATTTTCCTTTTTCTCACACAAGTTTCGGCGAAATATCCAAATTGAGTATTTTTACATATGAAACTAACTGAAGTTATATGAGGCTTTCGCGTACCATTGGTATTGAATTTCATTTCTTGTTTTTGTACTGATTTTTACTTATTAAAATAAAATATATTCCAAAGACAAAAACTTTTACAATAGATAAAATCGTTGTTTGTTGCTTATGAAATATGTGTTTTATCCTTTTATATTTATTTATTTAATGATTTGTTCTTTAATGAATAAGAAGCCGTATGTTTGAACAATCAGGCTTTTTCTATTAACTAGGTCTAACAAGTTTGTACCCAATAGGCTCTAGTTGTCAGATAGAAAAATTCTAAAAAAAAGTATGTCGTATCTTCGGAAAGACCCAATGCTAATGACAAAATTTCATTGAAAGTACTAAAATAGGGTTCAACCCAGCTAGAGTCCGAAATTTTCGACCCAACAGACTCCAATGGACGTCCAGGAGCAGAATCAACAAAATGTGATTTTTACCCGAATGTCTCTTACGGATGAAGCTTACAGGGAATATTAAAAGAAAAAGTGCGAGAAGAAGAATTCTCAAGTTTAAAACAATTAAAAATTATATAGAACAAAGAATGGCAAAAAAAGGAACTTGTGATACCTGGAAAAAAACGATTAATAAAATTTCTCGAAGACTTGGCAAAGTGATAATTAATAATAGAAAACAAATATATGACAAATTGAATAAAAATCGTTTTTTGTTGTTGTTTGATTAATTCGTACTTTTACAAAATAAAAAATATTTTGTTTTTGATCGTTGAAAATCATGGTGATCGATTTCGAAATTTCAATTATTATTACTATTAATAAAAGAGATAATGTCATCGGAATAATATGCTATACAAAAGATTGTCTTAAGTACTCGTAGTTTAATTAGATATAACTGAATATATAACTGATCACAAAAGAAATATAAGGATGATGCATAAGAAAAAAGAAGTTGAACACTAATCCAACAGATAAACACCTTCATTATGAAATATTATTTTCTATTTTACAAAATTCAAAACTTTTTCTGTGTTTCAATGGCAAAGGATTTTTTACTGTTATCAACGGTTGAAATTGAAATAGGTGAATTTTATTCTTTAGAAATTCTTCGATTTCTATGAAATAATTTTATTTATTTTACTCAAATTTTCCAATAACAATCTAATCAGTGATTTCTACAGACCCTATTTGTTGTCTTGTATCTTGTATGGCTGATCGTTCATTTGACAAAACTATATTCTGTATGTAAAAAAAAAAGAAACATAGCTTAGAAATTAACCTATATGAAAGAGATTACGTACAAGAGTAATGAGTAGTCCAATAGCGAATATAGTTACTAAAATAATATAAAAAGTTTAATAATGAATAATGATAAAAGAAGTTACGTCATACCAAATTTAAACATCATATACTCTGATGAAATGAATACAATATTACTTTGTTTCAAACAACGCCGTCTTTCTTAGAAAAAGTGTCTTAAAATGAGTTGCTCCGGTGACTATCACTCCAAATATGTATATACATATATATATATATATATATGCGATGTAGATGTCTTCTCAAAAACGATCTTAGCAAAAAGATAAGAGAATTTTATGCCTACGATAAATAGTGATAACACTACACATTGTCTTTCTTTTATGCATGATAAAACATGAACCTCTTCATAGCATTGCTTTTTTTTTTGTAGCCTTGTCGATGTGCATAAAAAAAAAGAACATGATTAAGAAACAAGTCTTATATGATACTGTCAATAGAAGAGAAAAAGAAAATGTCTTATTTACCTATTCATTCGTTTTCTCTGATAATTTAAATAAATATTGCAACTATATTGCAAGTCAGAACATGAATTTTAATTCAAATGTGAAATATCAAATAAAAGCAAAATTATGTATTATGCTTTTTTTTTATTATGCTAAAAAAAACTGTGATCCTACCCAAGCAAACAAAAAAAAGCATGCGATGGGTGCGACGAGCGGTCGAAAATTTGATATATATATTTTGTTCGTTCTGTTTCAATTTCGATCCCCTCGACACCCATCGAATTTCGAGAACTCGGACACTGTGTCCTATCGACGACTCATTTTCGACTCGTCGTATATATTTCGACACCTCGGCACTCATCGAAGTTTCGAGTACTCCGAGAGAAGTCACCCATCGAAATAATACTACCGACTCCTCTAACACATTTTAATCACTCGACTAAAACAAACATATTGAAAGAATCATTTTGAGTGCTTCAAAAGAGTAAAACCGATCATAACAACAGTGTTGATACAGGAGTCTATAATCTTGATCATGTGAAACTTCAAAATCCGATTTTAAAATATTCTTTATTTTTATTCAATAATTTTAGTAGAATTATTCGAGTTTGCTTCATAATTCACCTTAATTTTAGAATTTTCTGATCAAAATTGATCGTCCACCGGTTGAAACTAAAACTAAACTTCGCCTGCTTTTTTGACTACGACAGCAATAATGAATGTCCACGTTGTGAATTTAAAAAAAATTATTAAATATTGACCTCATACTTCCACGTGCAAATTGATCGATTATCTCATATTGCACGTCATTTTTATTCCATAAGTAATTTATACGGAATCTTAAATAAAAAAAAGTTCTTGTGTCACTTACAAAGATATAAAAAGTTTTCTTTCTGGATGAAATTTTTTTCATGATAAAAAAATTTTTCTCGATAAAAAAATATAATTTTTAGTGTTCAAAAAATAAAATTTTTTCTGGATGAAAAATATTATTTCTAATGTTTAAAAGAAAATTTTCTCTCTGGACACAAAGTATTATTTTCAGTTTTCAAAAAATAAAATAAAAAAGCATGAAAAACAATAACTACTATCTTCTTATGAATTAAAAAGGTCGTTTTGATATACGAATAATAGTTCATATTTAACTGAACTGTTTGACGAAAGTGAATTGTAAGTACCCATGTTCAAATCTACTTCTCCGCATATGTTCGATAGGTTTCGACGACTCGAAATTTATATACAATGGGTCTGGACAACTCGAAATTGAGACATCTATTGGATAAAAATTCTTTTTTTCGATGAAATTCCGATCCAGCGGAAACGATTATTCGAGTGGTTGAAAATTGCTAGTAAAAACAACCTATCGCCGAGCCCTCGACCCATCGGAAAATGGCACTTCCAGGGGTCGATTTGAAATTTCGATGCCCAACGGAAGCCAAAATCGACGCATCGAAATATCTATCGAATGGTTGGTTGGGTAAGATCCTATCAGTACATATGAGTAGACAAAGAAGGAATAACGAGAGATAACAAATAGAAAAGAAAATCATAACAACAAGCCGTATAACAAAATAGTGAGGTCTACAAGAAAAAAAATTAGCACAGAGAAACAAAAGATTCTGGAAAATCCTGAAGGAGTTGGATTTCGTCAATCTCATAAACAGATACAGAAGAACGAGAGAGGATAGAAGCCATTCAACCAGCAATTTTTTCGATTATTGAATGGTGAGAAATAAATCTTTTTGATGTTCTCAGACATTTAATTGAAAATTGTTTTTCAATCAAAATCTGTCTGAATGCATTCAAATTAGCTTTTTCAAACAATAACTCGCCATCTATAGAGTCTGCTATAGCTGCAAGGTATTTTTCCCAATAAAAATAGCATCTGTCTTCAAGGGACTTCTCATCAAGAGCAAATGTGAAAAAATTTTCATTCCAATGTAGACAATACAAAACACACCTAAGCGAACTATAATAAAAATGAGACAAATCTTGTTGTTGTTTTTCAGAAAGAATAGGATAAATCGGATAAATCCAGGTAAAAATAGGTAATACAAAGGATAGAAAAAGAGTCTTACGAAGATATGGGGAAGAACAACCAAAGATCTTAAAAGATTTAATCAAGGAAATTCTTTGCCTAATTTTAGTCATTATGTTTTTCTTATTACAATTTATCTTGTTATGCATTCTGATTATGAAACAAAAATAATTGCCTAATACATAATAATTATTTAGCACAGCTATGTTGATTACTCATTTATGGCCTAAAACATTTTTCCGTTAATTACTGAAATGTTTTATCATAGATAGATAGAAAATTTGTGTATCATTTAAAAAGCAACAAAAGCAGGTGACACTTTCTTGTAACATATCTA